TTCATGTTTTCAAAAATAACCCTTGTTTCAATGGGGAAAAGTTGTGGTAGGAGAGAATAATTCCCAGCTAATGATAATGATAGTATTTTATGCATGAATTTTAAAAATAAAAGAAAAAAAGAATCCCAAACTATGAAGATAATGTAAGGAGCCTTTGGGACAACCTCAAACATACCAACATCCAAATTATGGGGTCAGAAGAAGAGAGAGAGCAAGATATATTCATATAATGGAATATTATTCAACTAGGGAAGGGAATGTTCTGATACATGCTATAAGATGGATGAACTTTCAAAACATTTTAAGTGATATAAGTCAGTTACACAAGGTCAATTATTATTATGATCCTATTTACATGAAATATCCTATATAATAAAAGCCTAATATGCTAAGTGTCCAGTCGTCTGGTCATCCATTCAACCAATCAAAGTATAATATGCTAATGATATGCTAAAACCTCTCACTATGATGTGCACTGACCACCATGGGGAAGATGCTCTGACTAATCAGTTATCTTGCTGCTGGGGTCCAGCTAATTGGGACTGAGCAAAGCAAGCCAGACATGCCTTGGAGCTCTCCTACGGTCCCTCCCCAGGTGGCCAACCTCCCGTGTCCCTTCCCAGCCCCAACTGTGCACCAGTGGGGTCCCTTAGCCTGACCTGCACCCTCTTGCAATTCAGTATCCCTCAGGAGATGTCAGAGAGTTGGTTTTGGCCTGATCCTGCAGGCCAGACCAAGGGACCCCACTGTTGCACTAATTCATGCCTTAGGCCCATAGTATAAAATAAAATAAAATCTAGAACCCTAGCAGGTTTTGCTCAGTGGATAGAGCATCGGCCTGCAGACTGAAGGGTCCTGGGTCCCATTCCATGCCCTGTTGCAGATTTGATCCCCAGTAGTGGGCCTGCAGGAGGCAGCCAATCAATGATTCTCTCTCATCAGTGATGTTTCTATATCTCTCTCTCCCTTCCTCTCTGAAATCAATAAATATATATATATATATATAAGTCTCAAGTGTGTGGGGGAGAGGGAGAGATGGAGCTATTAAAACAGAGTTTCTATTTGGGATGATGAAAATGTTTTGGAAATAGTTACAGGTGATGTTTGTACATTTTGAATATAATTAATGCTGCTAAATTTTACACTTAAAATGGCTAAAATGGCAAATTTTATATTATATATTTAAATTTTTTTAAATTTAAAAATAAAAAATAAACTACATAAACATCATCAAACATTGCACTCCATGAGATGTTGAAAGATGATGCGAGGAATCTGACACCATGCCTGATGAATAGCTCTGTCCAGTTCTGTGAGATTTGATGGTTGTGGAACCAGCTGCCTGATGGCTCTTTTAACTTCATCTCATAAATGCTCAATTGGATGGAGATCTGGTGATTGTGGGGGCCACCTAAGCAAGGTAAAGTCTCCCTCGTGTTCTTGAAACCACTCCTGCACAATACGAGCACTGTGGCATGGCGAATTTTCTTGTTGGAAGAAGCCATCTCCATTGGGATACACCATCAACATGATAGGATGAACTTGATCAGCAACAATACTTAGGTATGTTGTGCTATTCAGATGTTGTTCCACATGAATTAAAGGGCCCAAATCAAACCATAAAACATGCCCCAAACCATAACACTGTACCACCAACTTGCATGTGGAGTGCATGCTGTTTCCATGAAATTCTCACTCTGCCATCTGCATGATGCAATTGGAAACGTGGTTCATTGGACCACATGACTTTTTCCCAATGCTCGATTGTCCAATCCTTTGTTCCTGTGCGAGTTGGAAACGTTTTATCTTGGTAACTGCAGACAGCAAAGGTGTTTAAACAGGCCTTCGACTTCCATATCCCATTTGATGCAGTGTACAGCTAATTTGCCTACTAAAGTCAAGTGGTCATAATAATCTGTCCAGGAAATTTTTAATTTCCTTAAATTCTTTTTTCTTTATTGTTGAAAGTATTACTAGTATTTCAGATGTACCCTTGAAGGAATTTTTTTAAACCATTAAACCAATATTATAGGAAATGTTGAAGTGCTTGCTGGAAGAAGAAGCCTGGCCAGCATGGTTCATTTGTTGAACATCAACCTATGAACCAACAGACGACTAGGCTGTGTGGGGTGACCAGGCCATCAGGGGGTTAGTGAGGGACGACCACATACTGAACAGCAAGCTGCATGGGGCAACGAGGCTGGCAGGGGTGGCACATGTAGGAAGACAGGCACACACCCCTCCCAGAAATACCTCTCCAAGATACATTATTGGTATAGAAGTAAAGTTATAGAACAATCCATAGAGAACAATAGAATCTGTGATTTAAACATAAAGGAAAAAATACATAAAACCACACACTTATGTACATACATAAGTAGAAAATTCTTAAAGAACACCCCTCAAACTGAAACAGAAAATGAGACTAGGGGAAGGGTGCATGGTAGGAATTCCTTTCCTTTTTTATCTAGGCATCTTTGATGAGAACGTTTTTATGTATTGCTCGTAGAATTCAAAATAGTTTTGCTTAGTGAGCTAAGCAGGAGGAAGGAGAGGGAGAAATGGTAGAAGTTTCATGCTGACAGCATTTTCCTACATGTGAAAGTGTTGCATTGTTAGTCAGGTGACACTCGCCTGCCACAGGAGCATCTGCCCTGGAGGAGGTAAGCTCACCACTGCTGCTCCCCCGGAGGCCTGATATGGGAACAACAGCAACGACATTGCTAAGCATCACTGCTTATGGCACACATGGCCCCTGACGGCTTCACAGAAACTACAAGGAAACCATCACCAGCTGATGGGTACACCATACCTTGGGTTTCCCTAAATGTAGTGTGACTCTTGGAACAGGCATGTCTTTTCTGCCTGACTCAAACCTTGTTGAGACGCACAGGTCAAAAATACCACAAAGCCAACGGTGAGTCACATCAGTATCTTAAATTTGCACCAAGTGAGCCAACTATGTGTGGAAAAATCCTTTAAAATCCTTAATAGCCTATGTTCTTTTTCATGACTGACACCCAAACTGCCTCATAAACTATAAATACTCCATTTTAGTCATTCCCTGAGTTAATGTAAGCAACACTATTTTGCATTCAATTAAGCTAAGGCATTTTGGTGACTACCAAAGCATAAAACTTAAATTCATTACACAACTGTAGTAAATGTCTGATTCATATACATTTTATCTATAATTTCTCAAACCACTATGGAAAGTTAAATCATTCACTTTATATAGTGCAACATAATGTGGGACTATGTAAAAAGCGAAAGAAAAAAGAATTTTCCGAAGAAGCTGGCTTTCGATTTATGTCTTGAAAAAAAATATTTTTATGTAATTTAAAAATCAAAATCACTTCCTAAGAAAAACTAATCCTCAGTATAAATCACGGTCGGGGGAAAAATCCTTCTTCACGGATAAAAAGGAGACAAAACTTGCCCAAATATAAATGTAAATATGCTCTAAATAGCAAAAGTGGTATTTGCAAGTAGTACAAATGAAAATGCCAAATACAACACAAAACCAAATTTGTGACTCAGCTTTATAAATGCGGCGGTGCCAGCAGCTGTCCAGTGTGAGATAGCTATTCCACCGGGTTACAGAATGGCATTAACAGAACCGGATTCAGTCTGTTCGGTGCCACACACACAACTTTCTTGTTAGTCACACTCCAAGGCACCACTTCTTTTGGTGGGTCTTCAAAATACACAGCGGAGCTCCTCAACCCACGCACATTCTGTTTCAAAGTTTTAGGGAGGGTCCGGAATCTGCATTTTTTTAAAGAGCAGATTCTGGAGAATCCCAGGAAAGAACTTCACAGGGGCATTGACCCCGCCTCACCCCCTCCTTCCTGAATCAGGGCAGAAGCAGGGGATTTCACATGTACATATAAGCACGAGTTTTTTCCCTTTCCTGTTACTCTTCATTCTAAGTATCACCAAGTCTTACAACTGATAATAACGTGAAATATGTCTGTTTGTTTTTATTAAATCCTTTAATATATATTTGAATAGTTTTTAACTCTGGTTACAGAAAGAAAGAAAATATAAGAATGAGAAAGGGATAATGTTTTGTTTTTTAAAGAAAAAAAAAAGTGAGAAGTCTGAAGCAAGTATGGCAAAAAGTTTATATCTGTTATTAAATCTGAGTGAAGGTTAATATGAATATGACTGGACAGCAGTCTCCCCCTTATCTGTGGTTTCACTTTCCACAGCCAACCAAGGTACAAAAATACTAAATGGAAAACTCCAGAAATAAGTAATTCATTCGTTTTAAATTGCCTGGTGTTCTGAGTATCCCAATGAAATCTCGTGCCTTCCCCCTCTGTCCTGCTCGGGACATGAATCACCCCTGGTCCAGCGTCTCCCCGACACAGATGCTCCCCACCGTTAGTCACTGAGCAGCCATCTCCGTTCCCAGAGTGACTGCCACAGCCTCACAGTGCTCATGTCCAAGTCACTCCAATTCTACACAGTAATGCCACAGTCACTTAATTTTATTACAGTATATTGCTATAATTGTTCAGTTTTTTATTAGTCCTCATTATTCAACGCTTGGTGTGCCTCGTTTATGAGTTAAGCTTTATCAAAGGTATGCATGTATAGGAAAAAACAGTACACATAGGGTTTGGTACTGTATGCGGTTTCAGGCAGCCAGTGAGTCTTGGAACATATCCTCCGCAGGGACGGGGTGACTGTTGTGTCTACCACACTTTTCTGTATGTTTAAAATACTTCATATTTTTTAAAGAAATGTAAATAACAGTATTCCAAGAGAAAGTACGAGCGGGTCAGCATACGCCACCCCTACCTGGCAGTGGCAGCAGCCAATGCCCTTTGATAACTTGTATCTTGGAAGGCTACACCGATTTTATGCCCCTCGTCTTGTTCACAGAACAAGCATGACCTGCTTGCCCTTGCTTAACGCTACGCTGTTTTCCACTGTGAACAGCAAGACTGAAGTGAAGACGGGAGGAAAGCGCCCTTCTTGGGCTCACATACCTGTGTCACTCCCAGGTCCTGTTGACAAGGCTGGCATGATGCAGGCTGCAGGCTGGACGCCGCACTCCACACAAATGCTCTCCCGCAGGGAATTCCAGCTCCACGGCCCGCAGCCACGCTGCCTACCAGGATTTATATATCGCACAGGCCGTTTCTACAAAGAAGAGGAACAGTGTAAAATAATAATAAAAACAAAGATTACTCAATGGCAACATTCTGTAACTAACTCATATACCAACATTCTTCGGGATTTTTCAGATTTTTTTCTACATGCTACATACAAATATTAAGTGTGAGAGTTTTTCATTTTGATGTGACATTTCTAATTAAAAATATGACCTTAAAAGATTTTTACTGTCAGTCTGAGGCCTGCTGAATGCATAGATGGAGAAAGTAAAGAAGCTTCTTTAAGCCAATACCATTCTAAAATTCCTCCCCTCTGTTAATCATAATTCTAAGTTACATTTCTAATGTAGAACAGACACTATAAATTATCAACAACTTATAACTAATTGTAATTTTTAAAAAGAGTTCATCTTAATATAACAACTGCAGAGTTCTCTAACTTAGGGCTGCAAATAACCTTTGAAAAAAATACTAGAATTGAAGCAAGATGTTATTATAGATTTACAGAAGTGTTCATCAAAATCAGCCTAACAATCCAAGCTAATATACAAAAGTAAATTTGTTTATAAAAGCTAAGCGTTGGTGTATCTTGGAAAATATCAATTTTCAATAACTATTTTAACTAATGTTTATCCCAAATTAAATAGTATAAAGGTACCACTATATAGTAGCTAAGAGCAATTACTCTAGAGTGTAGCCTAATCTCTAATCCTGTGAGCTCTGTGATCTAGGACAAGTCATTCAATCTTATTAATTCTTAAACTCCTTGTAGGCTAGTGAAGATATCAGCAATTTAAAATTGTTTCATAATTAACAACTGGCATATAGCAAGCAAATGAAAAAAATGCTGGCTATTATGACTGGAGTTGTCTAATTCAGGTAATAAGATTATAAAATGTAAACATAAAAGAAAGAAGCAAGATTAAAATGTACATTGTCCTGACACCTAGGAGACCATGTGTTTTAAATTTAGACCACTGCTCCTAATAACGGAAAATACATTGCATTTACATTTTTTTAGAAATCAGAAGAACTAAACAATGTGTTTAAGTTTTTTTTTAATGGATTTTCCCCAGTTCTTTTAAATTCAGTAATTTAAAAGTCCATTTTAACATATATTAAAAAACAACAGACATTTTAAACACTCAAAAACTGCCTCACTTCAATTCTAACGCTTTTAAATTGATAATTCATATTACAGAATAATAAATGAGCTTGCCAAATTTCACTGGAAAAAAATCCAAACTGTAAAATTCTATTAAAGCTTTTTAAATTAGCTTTTTAATTATCAAAGTGAATGTTCATAGAAAAAAAAAATCACCATCAAATAGACTACGTTAGACCAGACTGGCTATCTGGTGCAATGACTTGACAGAGTCAAAGAATGCAAATAAATCCACATGGAGAGGAGTGTTAATTACAAATTAGGGCAATTATTTTAAATACCATATAAAAATATAAATCACAAAGCTAAAAATAAAAAATAAGTGAGAAAAAGCAAAGTTTTATTAATGGCCATCACTGATGCTATTTCCCCCAATAATTAAAAGGCAACTCTTCTTTGCTTTTTATAAATTATTCTAACAATCAGGATAAAAATTCAACTACATAAAAACATTCCTAAATGCAAACACAAAGAGAGTAAAAAACAGACCATACATAATTTAAAGAATGCATTTAATTATTCTACTTTTGTTTTACTGCTGAGATAAAAAAGAGATGGTTAGAATTTGTAAAGTATATGCACACACATTTTTACAATTAGGACAATATATATGTTGTATGTGGGTAGGCAGTTATTATATGTATCTGTCTATAATTTAAGCTCTTTATGCCATGAGAAAAGTTCTAAATTTGTATGGTACAAATTGCTTCACTCCAGAAATACATATACCATGCAAATTACTACTTTCTTCACGCCTTAAAAAACTTATAACATTTCACTTTTATAAACCACCATATACGCCATAAAATACCATATAAGCAAACATGCTTATATCAAACAAACCGACTATTAATACTAAGACATACTACGACAACCTTACATTCCACATCAAAATAACCTTCTGAGCTGATACTGCTGCTGTGCATATATCCCATATGAGAAAAGCCTTTCCCACTTTATTTCATAATGAACCCTCAACGTTAATTTTTTCCAAAGTTATATTATTTAAGAAGTGTATGCTACAAAGTAATTATCTTCTCTGAACATATATAAGTATAATAAGAAATAGTTTGATGTAATACCACCACTAAAATGCTCAGTATTTTATAAAAACAAAACAGAGTTGCTGGGTTTAACTTTCAAACTGAGCCAATCATGTAATTGTTGTTTTTTGCTAAATTTATTGAAAATGCATTGGAATTTGTCAGAACCCAGACGTAATTATCACTGACTGTTGTATGGAATCAATTTTCTACAACGCAAAAATACCAGCTGTTATAGTATGTCCTGAGAGGGATTACGGAATATTCTTAAATTGAAGTTCAATCCATCTTTCCATAAAAAAGAGAGAGCCAGGAACATAGCGGTATAAAGTGCACCTGAAGCATTTACAATACCCAACAGAACTATTACAACCATCCTTTAAAAAGGCTTATTTTTGAAATTTCATTATTCCAGTTGTACCTTGCTTCTATATATCACACTGTATCAAGTTCTTCTGGCGTCTATCATGTGGAAACAGTGAAATATGTGAATGTCTACAAGCTTACCATGTCCGATTTCTCCTGGTTCTGAGTACCCCTTGGTACTTGGGCTGCTGTGGCACTCGTGACATCTAGTGGTCAGTCACAGGACTGCAAGTGTTTGTAGCAAAGTTTTCTGAGTTTTCAGTAAAGCAAAATTATCTTAATTGCACCCAGTGAAATAGTCATCAGGAAAAAAGAATTAAATAGGCATACACACACTATTAAAGTAGCACATCTTCTGCTTGAGTGTCCCCTGTACCTGTAATACTCAATATACAACACAACACTACTTCATTTCTGACACCAGAACTTGGTTTTTAAACATCAAGCAATTCTGTATAATCAGCTATTGCCCTAAAATTCAACTCAATTCTGACATTTTCTACCTGGAAAATGGCATCAGGTCCCACAGGTTACAGACTCAGTCTTACAGGATTGTTCTTCCCCCTTCCCATGTCAATACCAAGTCAGGTTGTCACCTATGCTTCAGGGGTGGGGAAGCATTTTTTTTCCAAGGGCTATTTGGATATTTATACCATCATTGGCTTAATATAATTACTTAAAAATTTTTACATTGCTATGAAAAAAGCTCCTTGAGGTTGCCTTGGTAGGGCCAGATCAAATGATGTCACAGGCCTAACATGACCCTGGGGCCAGACATTACCCACCCTATATCAATTAACAATAAATGAGGTGTCCGAAACCCCTTCCATCCTTGGGGTTGATTACTTCGCTAGAATCACTCAAAGAACTCAGGATAACATTTGCTTAATAGATGGCCAGTTTGTTATAAAGAACACATTCAGGCATAGCCAGAGGCCGAGATCCTTCCAGCAAGATATTTGGGACGAGGCCCTCTCTATCTCTGCACCTCCATACTTGCACAAACCCAGAAGCTCTCTGAACACTGTCCCTGTGCAACTTTATGAAGACTTCATTACATAAGTGTCACTGATTAATCATTAGTCACAGGCCATTGATTCAACCTCCAGGTCCTCCCCAGTGGGAGTAGGACTGAAAGTTCCAACCTTCTAATCAAGGTTGATTCCCTGACAATCATCCTCCATCCTTAGAGGCTTCTCAAGAGACACCTCAGTAACATAAACTGGGGTGTAGTCATCTGCAAAAAAAAAGTGACATATGTATTTCCTCCTTCCCAATCCTGATGCCTTTTATTTCTTTCTCTTGCCTTATTGCTCTGGCAGAAATGTCCACCACTATGTTGAATAAGAGTGATGAGCATGGGCATCCTTGTCTTGTTCCTGATCTTAGAGGAAAACGTTTCAGTGTTTCACCAATGAGTATGATATTAGCTGAGAGTTTATTGTGCATGGCCTTTATTATGTTGAGGTACTTTCCTTCTATTTTATAGTATTTTAATCATAAATAGATGTTGTATTTTATCAAATGTTTTTTCTGCATCTTTTGGTAAGATCATAAGACTTTTATCTGTTGTTTTAATATGGTGTGTTACATTGATCACTTCATGTATGTTAAAGCATCCTTGTGCCCCTGAAATAAATCCCAATTGATAGTAATGTGCTTTTGTATTCATTTGTTAGTATTTTGTTTAGGAATTTGGCATCTGTACTCATCAAAGATACTGCTCTGTAATTTTTGTGTGTGTTAGCTTTGCCAAATTTTAGTGTCAGAGTTATATTTATCTCATAATGTGTTAGGAAGTATTAACTCTTCAATTTTGTTTTTGAAGACTCCGATAAGGATAGGTATCAAATCTTCTTTGAATGTTTGTAGAATTCACTGGTGAAGTCATCTAGTCCTGGATTTATTTTTTGGGAGATTTTTTATGGCTATTTCAATTTCCTCACTGTTTATCAGTATATTTAGCTTTTCCAATTCTTCATGATTTAGTCTAGGAAGGATATAAATTTCTAGGAACTTACCCATTTATTATAGGTTATTGAATTTAGTGGCATGTAGTCCTTCATTGTATTCTAGTTTGATACCTTGTATACCTGTGATGTCTGTGGAGCCTTTTAATTTCTGATTTTGTTTATATGGGTCTTTTCTCTTTTTTCCTTAGTGAGTCTATCAAGGGGTTTGTTATTTTATTAGTCTTTTTAAAGAATCAGTTCTTTGTTGTATTATTTTTAATAGAATCGTTTTGTTCTCTATTTCATTCAATTTGCTATAATTTTTATTTCCCTTTTGCTGACTTTGGATTGCTTTTGTTCTTCTTTTTCTAGTTCTTGTAGATGT